TGAATAAAAAATAATTCCCAAAATTAACATTTTAGTATTCATTCTAGATCTATCCAGGAAAAGGAAAAATGTAGCATACCTTCATGTTACTAAAGTTATTTTTGTATACGTCCCGTTTCAGGAAGAGGGTAGCCGCTAATGGTGACACTTCCAGACCCATCTGTGACATACACTCCGTTTCTCTAAATAAAGTTAATATCTGAGGGTCAAAGTTTACAAACAATTCCCCTGTGCCTGGCGCCTTCACCAATAAAGAAGCCTCAAGTCCTATATGAATTTCTTCAATCTGTGGGAAGAAATCAGCATTATTATTGTGAGAAAATTAAAGGATGCACATGCTATCTAGTTCAGCCATTTCTGAAAACGAGGACTTTTTAGATGATCTTCTTAAGAGTTGAGTTTCTCAAATTAAAGATAATGATATTGCTAATTCTTCTTCTAGTCTCACTCTCAGAAAAAGAACCTCAAGTTCCTGGTCATGATGTTGCACGTCAGTTCAGTAAAATGCTGCGTTATAATTCTCTGACACCTAACCAATAAGTAGGCATGGTGGTAGTGATGACATCTTAAAAGCATTTAGCACCATAACACCTACACGTAAATTCAATGAAAATTATTTTACTTAAAAAGTATCCTGCCAGTCTACAAAAAAAAAAAACCACGAGTATTTGGAGAGTCCAAAATATAATTGTAGTAAATAATTATATTTAATATAATCATACTAAATATAAAACTTGATTGACCATTAGTACAACAAAAGAAAATGTAAGATTTTGTTTACTAGACTTAGGTGTTCAAAGGCACATTCAGGGCCTTTCCTGAAGAAAAAAATGTAGGAGAAATGAAGTATAGAAGGAAGTAACAAAAGAGCAAAATCTTAACCAATCAAGTGGAGAAACCAATAAATTTCTCAATTGGAAGTTTATAAATTAAATTTTTAAATGGATTTCTGTTAGATGATATTATTTTTTAAATAATAATTATCTTTGTTCATTGTTGTTGTTATGTGCTGTCTAGTCGCCTGCAACTCATAGTGCCTCTATGTACAGCAGCTCTGAAGCCTGCCCTGTCCTGAGCCAGTCTCACTGACTCCCTCACACCTAGCCCCATTGCCCCAGTTACTGTCTCAATCCATCTCATCTGGGGTCTTCCTCCCCTATGCTGACCCTCCACCCTTCTGAGCATGAAGTCCTTCTCCAAGGATCGATCCCTCCTGACCACATGCTCAAAGTATTGTGAGATGGAGCTTCAAAATATTCCACCATATCTGCTTTTGAAGATACCTACAAACTCAACTTTCTTCAGAGAATAACACTGTCCGTTCCCCTGGATTGAACCGTGAGATCTCTTTACCGTGAGATCTCTTTGAAGACCACAGTGCAAACACTCACCTGCTGCAGCCACGCCCTGTGATAGAGAACCTCAAACTCCAGAAGAACCTTGGCCATCCTGTTGTAACTGCGAATGATAGGTTTAGCCTCATCTGTCTGTAGCACTGTCGGATGCTGCTGGAAAAGTTGCATTGGTTGCTGGATTCTGTGAAAGAGCTGCCTGGCCCACAGAATCTTCCCAGCAATGGGAGGCTGGTCTCGAGCCAGTGGAGGGTCATATTTGTGCCTTGTATAGAGCTTTGAAATCATGTCAATGTCAGCTCCAAAATTCTCAAGGATAAGTCGGTATTTATCCTCAATACCCAGATTAGGTATATTCAACCTGGTATTAAAAAAAAAAGGATAAAAGACTTTCATTTGAATGTGTCCAGCACTTTCATTTGTTATTGTCTTCGCTATGTGCCATTGAGTCAACTAAGATGCATAGCAACCTTATTGATAGATCTGAACCCTGCCCTGTCCTATGTCATCCTTATCATTTCTAATAGAGGCCACTGCTGCAGTCATTCTGTCAGTCCATCTTATTGTGGATCTTCCTCTCTTTTGCTGAACACATCTTTCCAAGCATGACGTCCTTTTCCAAGGACTGACCCCCTCCTCATAGCATACCCCTGTGAGACAAAGTTTTACCATCCTAGCCTACCAAGAAGACCCTGGTTACACTTTCTCGAAGGTATATTTGTTTGTTCTTTTGGTGCTCCATGGGATACTCAGCATTTCCAACATCACAACTCAAAAGCATTGGTCCTTCTTGCATTTATTAACATTTCTTTTAAAGCATATGCTATTCTGCAGAAGAATTCAGTATCTCTGTGTTGTACTGTTATTGTTGTTTTCATGAGCTATCAACTTGGAAACAACTAATAGCTGACCCTCTGCCAGAGCGCTCCCTGGAGGCAAAGATGGTGAAGCTTCATCTCCCATACTTTGGGTATTTAGCTAGGTGAGGCTCTTCCTTGGAAAGGGGCATCATGCTAGGAAAGATGGAGGGTCAGAAGACAAAAGGAAGAGTCCCAAAGAGATAGATTGACCCAGTGACTTCAGTAATGGACTCTAGTGCATCAGAAATAACAAAGATGTCACGGATAGGGCAAGGTTCAGGTCGACCGTTCATAGTAGGGTCGCTGTAAGTCACACTTAATAGCACCTAACAATAGCAATAATAAATCACAGAGGAAGAGATTGTCTATGTTTCTCCTGGGGAACAGCTAATAGATTCAAACTTTGGGTTGGCAGCACAACTCCTTACACAGTAGGTCACCAGAAATCCCAAACACTGTAAATCCTTAAAATTTAGGCAAAACTATTCATTTAGTAAGAATATTTCCAATTATTCAAACACAAGGAAACATCACTATAGTTATCACTCACAAACCATTTGAAAACTGAGCGTATTCAGAGAAACAAATTTTTAAATCACAGGAGAAACAAATTGTGACCTTGTTACTTAGATTGCCAAGAGTACATCTTTCTTTTCTTTCTAATAGGAAATATTAGTAATGAAATAACATAAGCTCAGTCCATCTGGGGGAGCTCCAGAGGTTGCACTGCCAACTCGATGTGGTAACCTCTCTGGCAGTTTGAATTCACCAGTGGGTCTTCAGGAGAAAGATGAACAATCTCCTCCTATACAATTTATAGCTTCGGAACCACCTCCTCCCAGGATTGCTGTGTTTCAGTTGCCACTTGATGGCCAAGAGAGTTTTTATAAGTATTAACCTTATCCCAATCCTACAGACAAGACAATGCAATTCATCGCCATTTAATCAGAACCAACTCAGAGCAGACTCTGGGGAGGGCTTTTCCGAGGCTCTAAATCCCACAGGATGACAGAGCCCAGCTTTCTTCGGCAAAGCTGCTGGTCAATCTGCATGGCCAGACAGGCACAGCCTTTGGGTTTTCAGCACAGCTCCCGAGAGATTATAGCTTTAAAAATAATTTTGAATTTTTACCTTTCAAATTTCTTTAACATACTTAGAGCTTGATTTGTGTTTTGAATCTTTTCAAAGGTAATGTCCATGAACCTCTGCAACTCATTCTGAAATAGAACAAGAGGTGAATAGTAGCAATGAGTCAGCACCGGGAAATGTCGTGGGTAACAGTAAGATAAAGGAGCTCCTCATTATCTACAAATAATGTAAAACATATAACAGCACACTATACACACTTGTGCCTGAAAGAAAGAGAACTGTTGAGAATCCAGCAATGACTTGGAATGCGAGGAACCTGTGGGAGTCAGTGTCACAAGATGACACTCCTGACAACATGCCCAACATATGTGAGATTAATTTCTCCATCCTTGCCTCTCAGGAGCACAATGCACTTCCAAAATAGGCTTGTTATTTAGGAATTTCCTAAGATATTCAGTACTCTTATCCAACAAGACAATTCAAACGTATTCATTCTTTTGTTTTTGTTGCTGTTGTTGTCAGGTGCTGTTGAGTAAAACTCATAGTGACTCTATGTACAGATCTGGACATGTTCTATCAGGTGACATCCTCACAATCTCTGATACACTCAAGCCTGGTGCAGCAGTCATTGTGTCAGTCCAGATGGGGGAGAGTTTTACTCTTTCACTGACCCTCCACCTTTCTAAGCATAATGTTTGTCTCCAAGGAAGAGCCTTTCATAGCAACATGCCTGAAGTGTGTGAGGTGAAGCTTTATTATTTTTGCCTCCAAGAAGCATTCTGGTTGCACTTTCTCCAACATATACTAGTTTGTTCTTCTAGCAGTTCATGCTATATTCAGTACTCTTCTCGAACTATTCTGTCATCCTTATTAATTGTAAAACTTTCATATGCATAGAAAGTAATTGGCAAGGGGGAACCCTCTGACTTGGATTGGACATACCTTAGTCTTTAAACTGAAATTAGATCTCATAATCTCTATTTTTTTAATAATGGTTTTCCTACAAAGTTCATATTCATTGTTTTTCACACCAGATCTTTACCCCTATTTTTGTCTCATGACTTCTTTAATACAGAAGTCCAGGGCTAGGTCCCCACTAGCATGGCTTACACTACCACTTTTCCCAGAAGTGTTTAACTAGAAGTAGGAGATGTGTATGATTGTTCTGGTGATATATTCTCAGAAGCTGATGATGGCTACATATGAGTCATTCAAGACAGCTGGTCGGTAGTGAATTGGGTTCCATTTTGAGCTACTATCTGAAAGGTTGGCAGTTTGAACTCTCCTCCTATAAAGATTTACAGCCTTGGAAACCTGATGGGAATCACTGAGTCAGAATCAACTCAATGGCAGTGGGTTTGGTGGTTACTTTGTTGGTCTGCAGTGGGAAAGGAAGAAGGAAAAGAGAAAGGAGCTACAATTTCAAGAGGAGTCCTGGTCCCAATTTGGAAAACCTGGCTGCAGACTCTGCCAACTTCATCTTATTGCAACCAACCAGCTCAACTCATGATGGCCCTATCTATAACAAAGGCTTGTCCAGCCCTGTGCATCTTGATGACCACTAGTATACGTGAGACAATTATTATGACCATTATGTCAATGAATCTGTATCGCTGAGGATTTCCCTCACTTTTGTTGAACCTCATCTTAAGTCTCTCATTTGCCCAAATTATCTCTTATCATTATTGTCATAAGAGGTCCAGAGGGTACATATAGAACAATATCAGGCTGGCAATTCAAATCTATAAGCTGCTCAGAAGGGAAAAGATGAGCAATCTCCTCTCATAGAGATTTCAGCCTCAGAAAAACAATAGAGGGTTGCTACGAGTCAGAACTGACTTGATAGTAGCCGTCATTATTATTATTATTATTATTATTATTATCATCATCATTATCATTATTATTATTTGTTAAAAAGAAAAAAGTAGACGTTAATGTCTACATTCTAATCACATTACATTTCAACATAAAAAGAAACTTCACTTTCCAAGACCCACGACAGAAGACATGCACAAGGATGTGATTAGAGATCACCAGCCAAAGCTATATTTATAGCCCTGTAATCCATGAAAAGAGAACCTCAATTATTAATCCGAAATCACAAGCACAGGTCCAGGTTGCTATCAGTCACCTCTCTGGTGAACACGCCTTGCCATTCTGAATACCTAATGATTCGCAGCATTATACAGAAAGGAAAAAACAAACATGAGCCCATCCACAGGAATTTCATTATGCAACCTACATGAAGGTCACTAGTCTGCTTGCAAAACTCTTCATAATCCTGGTCAAATTCCATTTTCCGTTGGTCTAAGAAATTATACTCCTTTTTCTTTATCGTCAGAACAATGCCCTGAAGAGAGGGGGAAAAGACAATATTTGAATACTCCTGCATTTAAACATAAAATTCAAGATCTCATAGCCACCATATCAATTTAGCCTCACAGTGAGCTACAGAACAGAGCAGAATCATTCCACAGGGGACCCAAAGCTGTAACTTTTATTGAAGCACAGAGCCTCATCTTCCTCCTGGGGAGCAGCTGATGACTTTGAACTGCCAACCTCTTGGTTAGCAGTGTAACACTTTAACCACTGCGCCAGCAGGGCTCCAACATTCTCGCCTTAATAAAATTTGTAAAAGTACAAGCTGTACAATAATTCTTGAGGATGTGGGCGTCAAGTAAAAGAAATTCTATCCGCGGCCCTCGGGCCTGTCTTTCATTGTTTTTGTTCAGACATTCCTCTAGGTCATATAGCCCTGGTGTATAAGTTGCCGTACCACGGTCACTTGCGGTTGCTGTGAGGCTGAACACTGTGACACTGATGTGTCCAGTGCGTTAATGGCTGGTTACCCAATGCGGACAGAGAATGGGGTGGAGCTCCCCGATTAAAACAAGCTTGGAAGGAGGAGTGGCATTCACTTCCATAAGAGTTTGCCTCCGGAAATCCTATGAACCTGGAGAGAGGATGAAAGGCACCCAAGCGTCGAGGACTGTCCTTCATATGGTCGCTATGAGTCGCCTGCGACTTGACAGCACTTAACAACAACAACACTATTTAGCTATTCATATTGTTCAGTACTTATTACAATACTATCATACACCCTGTGACATTCAAAGACATCATTTGGAAAGTGGCTTTCGGTGGAATTATGTCTTGGAGAACAAGTCAGAAATAAAAATCATATTAAAAAAATGACTTCTCATATGTGTTTTTCATGTTAGTATTTTCCTTACAAGCGTCTTGTTAATTACATGTGAAAAATAAGAATAAAAGATAACTTCTCAGATGTGTTTTTCATATTAGTATTTTTCTTAAAAGCTTCTTGTTAATTACATGTGGAAAAATAAGAATAAAAAAAATCCAGAAGAGCATCTACTAAAATACATTTTCATTAAAAAGTTTAAATCTTCACAGAAAATAAACAAGACTCAAGCACAACACAAATAACTTGGAAAAGAAAAAAATGATGTTATAATAGCTACAGATGAAATACACTCTTCTAAACTTCACATATCTTAAATAAAACAACAACCCACAATGCAGAACTTAAGGAATCCCTGGAATTAATTGCTTCCTACTGCCCTGCAAAGCTGCTGTCTGCAGCTATGAAAGGACAAATTAGGCAATTCATCTCCTTGAAAATACTATAATCACAAGTTTTGTTTGCTCTGAATAATGAGGTAGAATGCTCTGCGATCATTCTTAGTCAGGCACTAAGCCATTCTCAAATGCAGGTGCCCACACTGTTGACAAAGGCATATAATTTTTATGAAGAATATTGGGCTTATATCCACAGTCTCCTCTTCAAAGTCATGCCATTTACATACCAACTTCAGTCTACTGATAGAAAAGAGTATAAACTTTCTAACTCCTTCACTGGCGCTCACTAGTTAGAACAACTCACTCTTCCCCTCTGTATACCTACACAATTAGTGCTATTTCAAAGTGGTATGTATATTGTTGTTGTTATGTAACATTGAGTCAACTAGAACTCATAGAGCACTACTCAGCGGTATCTTGGTGGCAAAATTGTGAGGCGCTGAACTGTGAGCTAAAAGATTCAAAGTTATCAGCTACTGCTCAGTCTGGTGGAGAGAGATGTGACATTCTCCACAGCCTCAAAAACCCTACAAGGCTGTTCTGCTGTGTCCAGTAGGATTGCTCAGGACCAGAATACTGGAGAACAGTGGGTTGGGATTTGGGGTTGAGCCTCACTGGGGTATATAAAATGTGCAGAAGACATATGGAAAAACCACACTGCTATATTTTTAAGAAAGTAATTTGAAGAAGTTGGGAGACTTCAGAAAATCCTGTTCTGTGATGGGATTTAGTGGTCACATACTAGTTTAAGTTAAATAAATTAAATTTGAGTCAACTTATCAACTCGAGCTTCCTAATGATTTACTTGACAGATATTTTTGCTCACTTATTATGCACTAAAGCAGGTCTGTAGTCTGTAGCATCTTGGGCAGCTAACCAAAAAGGTATGTGTGTTTCTGGCAGTTCAAATCCACTATCAGCTCCAGGAGAGAAAGTGAAAACATAGTTTGCTTGAGAATTGCTTTCAAAAAAAAATAAAATAAAAAGAATTGCTTTCAGAAAAACCCTTCAAAATGTTATTAGATCACCGTGCCCTCTTTCAAAAAGTAAGACCAGTCACTGAGATCTTCAGTAGCCAAAGTAACCGGGATTAAAAATAATTGGGAATTTTTAGAGCTGAAGTGAAATCTGCTGTTTTCTACGTTGCTGTTGTTGATTGCCTTCAAGTTTCCAGAGGTATGTTGTATAGGAAGTGGATGCCACTCAAATAAAATGCTTACTTACAAAGATAATCAACTGTTGCTCAGAACTTGGGGTCAACTAATGCCTTACACATCAAATATGCTTTCTTAAGTCATTCTGGCATGAATAAATGAAACATCAAGTTATATTTAAGCAAGTCCCTTTCTTCCTGAAGGTAATTATTAATTTGAGGTTACTGGGAAGCCAGTCTTACAATAACACCATTTTGGGGGTGGGGGAAATAGCATCATTACAAAAATGTTCCAATGAATGTAATTTCTGCATTGTTAGTGCTATAAAGTTATATTTTACAATATTGATTCTTTTTAATCACTCCAAATACAGATTTTTGCATAAAACATTAATGTCTAAATATGAGTAACAGTAATAAAATCAGCTTTTAGGTACAATACCTGGAATGACGCGATCATGCTTTCCAGTCCTTCGATTTTTGAATCTTGTAGAACCGAGTATGTCTTGAAAGTTGTAAAGATGTTTATTATCTTGGCAAGACGTCGGTGGAACGTTTCAAATTTTCCAAAAATGTACATTTCACTAAATTCAAACTGCTTTTCATTTGGGCTTTCTTTAAGTTTCTGTTTGGTCTTGTGAAAGCAGTGCTGATATTCCTTTAAATTATGAGCAAAATATAAGAAATGAAGCATACAGCTTCCAAGTTGAACAGAGGATTCTTCAGCAAAAGGGCCGTGCCTGTATCCTCAAAGAACTCGTTGGTTAGGGATGGATAAACCAGAAATGCACTATCCAAAAGAGGGATACTGAGGCACGAGGCATGTAGTAGCTGGCATACACACTTTCACAAATGTAGTTATTAGTAAAATGATTGTAAAGGGGGGAAAGCCCACAATATACATCAACCAAATGTAACATAAATGAAATATTGCATACACCACAATGTACATGCATGGAATATAATGTACATGATAAGTGCAAACAATAGCAAAATTAGAATGTATTTTGGAGACTTCTGACAGTTTAACATCTCATAGTTACTTGCTCACCAGTCTGGAATATCATCTTCCCTGACTCGTTAATCTTGAAAAGACCTGATGCATCCCAAAGGCAGTTTTTCCCATCTTGGTGCCATTTGGTTAATAATACAGTGACATACACTCAGGCACAATGGTAGAATTCTCATCCTTCACGAGTAAGACATAGATTTGATTACCAAATAACGCATCAAAACACAACCACTATCTATCAGTGAAGACATGCTTTGTTGCTTACTGAACAGGATTTAGCAGGGCTTTCACAATAGCAAAGATTAGGGAGAAAGTTCTGCCAAACTACTTTCAAAACTCAGTCAATGACAATAGTATGCAATCCAATAATTGCATCCTTCCATGTATGGGGTCACCACCAGGCAAGGAAAGCTCAAAGACCATGAGTCTCAAAGACAGCTAACAACAACTATGATTGTGTTGTAACTGATCATTCTGTCTACCTATCTGTCATTTGTCTAGAATGTACTTGAGAAAAACAATCACATCTTAGTTATCTCTGTATCCCAGCATTTAGTATTGAGACCATGTCATAGTCCTCCAAGAGGACAGAGCCAAAACAGTCTGGAAATATTTATTTGAGAAGTATGTATCCAAGTCTCTTACCAGTAACAAGTCACTGGTCTTTTAAGCAGCCAACAGTGTGGCAATTACTAAATGCTATAAGATGGAACCAAGAAAATAAATAATGTAAAATGATAATAGAATGCTGCTTAAATATATTACTCTGCTAAACTTACTTGCTTAAGTTTAATTGCAGATAATATTTTTTCCATAACAACATCTTGTGGCTGGTTCCAGATAGAAGCAGTCCCATTGTTGGTAATATAGGCTTTACATGCAGATATCATTTGATTTGTCACCTGGAGTTTTTAATAAAATAATAGTAAGTAATGGTAAGAACCCACACTGCAATTCTGAATATGCCAGCTATTCAGGAGAAGGATGGGCAATTTCCTTTCGTGCAATTAACTGTTTCTGAAAAGCCACTAGAGGGTCAGCTATGGGCTGGTTCCAACTTGATAGTACACAACAGCACAAATAGGCAAAGACTACAGACTGGACTGGAAAATGTTTACTTCTACCTCCCACCATTCACAATCTGTGAGCTTAAGCTTTGAGTGCATTTTTTAATCATAACTATCAGTAAGCAATTAACTTTTTAAGTTTTCAAGCCTCCAAGTTGACACACCAATAGCAATATACACTTCCACTCTCATTCTGGACAAATACCTTAAACCAAGAAAGGATTGACTTACCTAAATGTGGTGTTAACCTAAAAGTTGGCTTTTTCCCCCATTAGTTAGCTGCCTCTGGTCTCTAGATACTTTAATTGCAGACATATGGTTTTGCAAATCAGCATGGCCTTGCATATCACCAACAGCTGTGGGACTAGGATAAGTGAAAGAGTGCTTCCCACAGTGTGCAGCAAGACTAGGTAAGCAAGGCCTGTTGCAGCAAGAGCCTGGTGAGAATGAAAGCCTGGTGGTGAAGAGCATGCTGTGACGAAACTGTGGAGAAACTGACCTGATCCTTCTTGCACTTGTACTTACCACAGTTAAATGTTTGTTCTTGCCGGTTGTCTGAAGGAGAAGCTGACTTATAACTCCTCTGAGGCAAATCTTGCTGCATGATTTGGATTTGACTGCTGAACTGAAACCAGAGACTAGACTAATTGAAGAATGGTTCCTTTGGATCATTGGGATAAACTTGGACTTGCACTAGGAGATATTCTTTGCCTCCTCCACTCTCCAACTTACTTCCCTAATAAACTCCATTGTTAGTACTATAATTGTGGATCTGTGATTCTGCAATAAATAAATGAATTTCTGCTGCTGGGGCTCCAGAGGCACGATGGGACTTGGCTATGGGCTCATCAAGTCGTCTCCAATTTCTGTGTACAACAGAATAAAATCCTTCTTGATCCTGCTCCATCCTCACAACAATTCTTGAACTCTTCGTTGCAGTCAATGTGTCAATCCATCTCATTGAGAGATTTCTTCTTTCTTTTTTTTTTTAGTAATATCTTTATTCTTTTGTGAAAGGAGGAGTGGCATCCACTTCCATAATAGCTTGCCTCCGGAAACCCTATGAACTTGGAGAGAGGATGAAAGGCACCCAAGCGTCAAGGACTCTCCTTCATAGGGTCGCTATGAGTCATCTGTGACTCGACGGCACTTAACAACAACAACAACTTTATTCTTTAGTACTTTAGAGGTGATCTTGGCAACATACTTTTCCTATTGCAATGCAATTTGGATTTTTTTACTTTTTTTTAACTGTTGCTCCCGTAGCTATATATTGTGAATCCACATAAAATATAATTCTTAACAACTTTAATCTTTTCTTCATTTATTCCATGATGCTCCTTTTTATTCAGTTGTGAGTTTATATTCAGATGTAATACATGCTTATTGCTACAGCCTTTGGGCTTCATTAATAAGTTCTTTAACTCATGGAATGAGGGACATCATAACTGATGCCAGATATATGTTGGCTGAAAGGAGATAATATCAGAAAGATGCAAACTTGTTTTATTGACTATTTAAAGACATTTATGGTGTGGGTCATAAAAATATTACAGATAACATTATGAAGAATGGGAATCACATAACATTTAATTGTGCCTAGTTGAACAACCTATGTTGTTGTTGTTGTTGTTGTTGTTGTTATGTGCCATCGAGTCGTCTGTGACTCAGAGTGACCCTATGTACAAGAGCTCCAAACGCTATTCTATCCTGTGCCAACCTAGCCATCTCAAACACGCTTATTCCCACCGCTCCAGTCACAGAATCGATCCATATCAATCGAGGGTCTTCCTCTCCTTTGCCGCCCCTCCACTCTGCCAAATGTGATGTCCCTCTCCAAGGACCAGTCCCTCCTTGCAACATGCCCAAAGTATGTCAGTTGAAGCTTCAGAATCCTTGACTCCAAGGAGCATTCTGGCTTCACCCTCTCCAGGACAAACCTGTTTGTTCTCCTAGCAGTCCATGGTATATTCAACACTCTTATCCAGCATCACAGCTCAAAGGCATCAATTCTTTTTCTATCAACTCTATCCACTGTCCAACTCTCTGATGCATAGCTCATAATTGCGAAGACTATAGCCTGGGTCAGGCGCACCTTAGTCTTCAGCCTGATGTCGTTGCTCTTCAGTACTCTTGAGAAGTCCCTCACAGCCAACTTTCCCAATGCAATTTGTCTCTTGATTTCCTGGCTGCTGTTACCAAGAGTGCTGATTGTGGAGCCAAGCAAACTAAAGCTGTGAACAATCTCAATCTCTTCACCATCCATACTGATGTTGCCAATTGGCCCAGTGGTGAGAATCTTTGTTTTCTTGATGTTGAGCTTCAATTCATATAGGAGTTGAAGAACCTATATATAATTAAAAAACTTGTTGGAGAAGAGCACTTAACAGCCAAAAGAGTAGTTATGATGTCTTGGAGAGGGTGCAGCTGGAGTGCTCTTTGGAAGCAAGAATGATGAGGTTTTGGCTCACATACTTGGGGCATGTTGCTAGAAAGGGCTGTTCCTTAGAGAAGGACATGATGTTGGGAAGGGTGGAGGGTCGCCGAAGGAGAAGAAGACTTTCCACCAGATGGGTTGACACAGTGACTGCTGCAATGAGCTCTTGTGTGTCAGGAAGTGTGAGGATGGCACAGGATACAACTGGGCTCAGATCTTTCATTCATAAGGTCACTAGGAGTCGTACTCAATTCAACCACACCTAACAACAACATACATAAAACCAAGAAGTAGTTTATCCAAACACAAAACAAGTAGACACTGCCTGGTTTAAAATCTTGAAAAGCGTGCAATCAAGTTGTATTCTTTCAGTGTAAAATTCTATCTGTATAATGAACAGGTAGTCTAGGAAGCTGGACTGTATAAAGAAGAATGTGACATCGGGATTGGAGGAAGAATCATCAACAACCTCTGATATGCAGATGACACTGTCTCGCTTGCAGAAAATGAAGCACTGGCTGCATCTATGTAGTACAGTTAGTCTACTTTTCCTTTCATCTTACTGAGATGCCTTCTGCGTTACTCCATGATCTGCCTATACAACACTTCACTATCACAACTCAGTGCTTGAATTTGCTCTTCATTCATTTCACTATGACGAAAACCTAAATGTGTTCTTCTCATTCTGTTTTCTAACTCCAGTTCTTTATACATTTCATTACAATACTTTAGTTGGTCATTTCAAACCACCCTTCAAAGTCAGTTCAACTCTCATGCTTCTAATTTTTCTCCTTTGCCTTTGTGTCTCCCGTCCTAGGAAGTTTCAGAATTGAATCAATTCTAACATGAATTTTGGCATTTTCTTTATTTCCTGAGATTTTTAGTGACTTGTTTCTTCATGTATGATGTTCTTTACATCATTTTCCTGGTCTTTGATCATTAATGTTCACTGCATCAACTCTACTCTTGACACAGTATCTAAACTCAGGTAGGATATACTCAAGGTCATATTTTGGCTCTTGTGGATTTGTTTTCATTTTCTTTAGGTTACACTTGAATGTGCATGCCAGCAATTGATGATCTGTTCTACAAACAGCCCTGGTCTTGTGCTATTTGATATATAGTCTTCCCATTAACTTCACTGACTTGTTTCTATTAACTGCTATAAACAATAGCTTAGCTTAACTATAAAAAAATACCTGTTTTGCATTTTACTGTGGTCTGGAGGTCTACCTCAGTGAAACTGATCAGATGAAAGTTCTTGAAAGATTAGATAGGAACGTCAGGAAACAGTGAGTTAACGTCAATGAGAAAGGAATGGCTCAAAGAAAGCTGGCTGCACAAGAATTCAATCTATGTCACCAAATTTTACATGTAGAAATTAAAAGTGGTCTATGGGTCGCTATGAGTCGCAGGCGACTCGACGGCACATAACAACAACAACAACAACAACATGATTTTTTTTTTCTATGTGTATTCTCAGTAATATAAATAATTAAAAAGAAAAAGCGATGACTAATCTAGAAGGATCTTGCCTCCTACTTCTTTAGTATTCTGCACTGAACAATTCCTGATGAATTGGAAATTCCTCTATTTTAATACGATGTTTAAATTTTTTTTTTTCTTCATCATTAAAAAGCCATTTACTTCTCACAGACTTCAAAATGGGAGTGAGAACAGTGCTTACAATAAACACTTGCGAGTTAGGACATAAGGTTTAAACACGGTTATGTTTTTTGGCAGAAGCGCTAGAATTGCTTTATAGATTACTGAAATGTTGCAAGTGGCTTTTATTACTGTAATTACTGCTCTAATAACACTAAGTAAGCAACTATGGCCTCAAATGAATTTGGAATAGGGCATAAAATACACAAAACGGGAAATATCCAGTCAAATATGCTTTTTCTTAATTAAAATTTCCCCAAGAGGAATAAATAATGATCTAAATCATTTGAAAATGAAACCCCCAAAAGAGACTTTATTTGTATTACACAAAAACAAAATATTTATTGCGAGAATGAAAAGCAAAAGCATCCCAATGCTGTTAAGTAAGTCATTGTTGACTCAGGGTGACTCTGTAGAATAGGGCAGGACTTCCCCAAAGGCTTCCTAGGCTGTGATTGCATGAGGCAAGCCAAGGATCACATCCTGAGGAACACCTGGCGGGTATAAATCACTGATCTTTCCATTAACAGCTGAATGTTTTAATCACTGTGCCACCTGGATTCTTTGCTGTGAGAATTAGCGTTTAATGGTTTGTGGAAGGCAGCTTCCCACTCAAATACAATTCTGTCTCTGTAAATGAGACTAAGTGTTATAGAACTCTAACATGCATGCATTGCCTCTGGATTTTTACCACTGTGGTCATGGAGCCTACATTGTGTACTCACCTTTACAAACAGAGATGTTATCTTCTCGGAGGTGTTATAGTAACGAGAGATGCTATAGATCATTTTAATTGCATTTATAAGTGTAGGAATTGCGTCAATCATGGCTATCTAGAAGACATCACAAAAGATTCCAGGAGTGAAAACAGCATATTCGGAGAATAATAATAGGTTAATCATTCCATTCCCCTTAAAACAGTTTATCAAAAATATTTTCTAAATATTTTAAACATCTCCTGATGCTTTACAAGAATATAATCAATTTAGATACCACTTTTATTTTTAGCATTTTAGTCATCAGCAGCTCTTAAAATTTTATTTCAGTGCAAGGACATGTACTTTCCTGTTACTAACAAGGATGTAATGTGAACAGTTAATTTTATATTACACAGGCAGTTCCTAAGCTCAATGCCAAAGAAACAACAGCTAGAGATTTCCCCCACAGTTCTGTGAGTTATAGTCAATTGCAACATTTACTGGAAAATAGACTATGCAATAAATGTTATTATAGCACTTGATGCAAGCCTCCCTCTCCACGGACACATATGCATATAAGTAATTTTCTGTAAACTAAAAAGAGGTTTAGAACTATCCAATTGATTGCAATAGCAATGAATCAATACTAAACACTCAACACTTCTACAGTACACTCAAAACTTCTAGGACGATAGTATTATCATTTGACCAAGGGAGCGGAAGTCTTGAACTCACAGGATCGCTGCTGTACAAAGGATCGCAGCATTTCTCAAGAGTATACAAATATTTGACATTGTCCTTGGCTTCATTAGTGGCATCAGTGATCCGAATATCCATCTCCCGCCAACTCTAAACACAACAGAGGGGACCAATTATTATTAGAAGAACTTTGCTGTAACAGCTGCTAAACGTAGCCATCAGTTCCTAGGATCAGACTTGCCATTTGCTGGGTGCATTCTTCATAAATACAAACTAAAAGCATAAGGAATGTTGTTGTGCTGAAGAACAACTTTTAAATTTTGGCTAAATGTTAAAAGCGCCTCTTCTAGGGTTTCTCTTTCAAAATCGATTTAATGACTAGAACAGAAGACCAAGCAGACATAATATCTCCCTTTAAAATTTCACCTCCTCCACTCTGCTGGGCCCATTTGCACTTCATTCTCATGTTTTCTTCTTTTTACTCTAATCTGAAGTGCCTTGTTTAACCATTAAAGTGGCAATTACTTACTAACTTCAAACTACATGTGCTTTGGGCCAGGAACATCAAAATGGAAAAAGAAGTAAAAAAATAAAAATAAAAAATCATTAGGTACTTCCCAACCCATCCAATGACTTCACCAGCGTTCAGCTGATAGAAATTAAAGGACACACTGCATTGAGAGACTCTGCACCAAAGATCTCTTTAAAGTGTTAAAAAGCCAAGATGTCACTTGGAGAAGTAAGGTGCACTCAACTCAAGCTATAGTGTTTGCCTATTATATCATGTGCATGTGAAAGCTGGACAATGAAAAAGGATGATCAAAGAATAATTTATGTATTTAAATTGTGGTGGTGACAAAGGACGTTGACTATGCCATGGACTGCCAGAAGAATGAACAACTCAATCTTTGAAGAAGTAGTGTAGGATGTGAGACTTTAATGTCCAATACTTGAGACATCAAGAGGGAGCAATCCCTGGAGAAGGAAGTCATTCTTGGGACAGCAGAGGGTCTGTGAAAAAAGAAAGACCCTCACCAATGTTGCAGCCATTACAATGACAGGCACAAAAATGGTGAGTATGGGGAGGAGTGATAGGGAATGGCAAAGGACACACTGACAAAGGAGATTAATCAGAACTGGCTTTGACAAGCACTGTGGCAATTGGACAA